TCTGAGCAAAGTCGGAAATGACGAAAATTCTCGTCATTCATCGCTAAGGGGTTAATCATTTTTCAGTGATTCAGTGATTATTTGACGAATTATTATATATGGTATATTTTCTGTTAAATTTCCACAAATTGACTTATCAAAATGAAACAATTTAATGCTTGATTATTTTATTTAAATAATAAAAAATTTAGAGTATTTCTTTTTTTACGTCACTACGTGATTTCAATCTTGTAGCGGTCACCTACCTATCCTTTTTCATATTGCGTTATCCGCTGCTTAACTTGAATAACTGAACTGAAACACATAGTGCCAATAAGCTGTGACAATACTTTGTTGAATTATGATTATAATATGCTCTTGTATCGTTTAAACAACATTTAATGGCATATTTATTGACAAATGATACAAACGACGATCAAAATGCTACTGATATTGTTATAATGTATATCAACGAAACTCATTAACGATATGATTGCTCTATCACTAAATTTTCAATTTAATATTATAACGAACTAAGGCAAACAATAAATTAGTTTGAAAAATAGATATGAAATAATTCATAAACAAGATATGAAATAATTCATACTAATCAAGAGAATTTGATGCTTATCTATCTCGTCATTAAAGAATAATTTACAGCAATACTTTATCAGAAGAATCTAATAATAGATTAGTGATTATCATTGTCACCGTAATCACTGAATTATTCTGTAGCATTAATAACCCTGTACTTTAAATATTCAAAATCATTTGTCGCTAGTAATAAAACTACTGAACAATCCCTTCCTCTCTCTCTCCCCCCTCTCTCCCTCAAGCAGTTTCAAGTGCTCTTTCATCTATATTGATCTATATTTAAAAATAATACGCAACTTTCGTTAGTATATGTCGTTTCTCGTTTCTGACGTCACAAATTCAACATGGTCGCAACGAAGTAAAAAGCCTTAAAATCATGCAAAAACTGCAAAAGTACCGATTCGCAAAAAAATGCGTTTAAGATTTTGCGTGCAAAATAGATATAAATTTCGAGTATTTACTAATCAAGTACTTCTTAATTAGCGGTTCTAAACTCATGTATTCCTTTCTGAAACTAATGGAACTTATTTGGAATTTTCTCTTTATCTGTGGCAGCAACTTGAGCCTTTTGAAAACCGTTGCTAGAAAATAATTGACAAACTTATAGAGACATACTTATTCAAATTGATTATAGAACTTGTCTCATCATATCACGTCAACTGACCAATTTTCTTTCATTGATATTTCGAAAATTTACACGACAGTTTACAAAGTAGTAATGGATTCTCTATTTTAGTTTAACTAGTTTTACATTCCTTACAAAAAGAGTATTACTGATTGGTTAGTAATTTATTACTAACTATTTGAATAAGTCTCTATAAGTTTGTCAATTATTTTCTAGCAACGGTTTTTCAAAAGGCTCGAATTGCTGCCACAGATAAAGAGAAAATTCCAAATAAGTTCCATTAGTAGAAAGGAATACATAAGTTTAGAACCGCTAATTAAGAAGTACTTGATTAGTAAATACTCGAAATTTATATCTATTTTGCACACAAAATCTTAAACGCATTTTTTTGCGAATCGGTATTTTTGCAATTTTTGCATGATTTTAAGGCTTTTTACTTCGTTGTGACCATGTTGAATTTGTGACGTCAGAAACGAGAAACGACATATACTAACGAACTTGCGTGTTATTTTTAAATAAAGATAAATATAGATGAAAGAACACTTGAAACTGCTTGAGGGAGAGAGGGGGGGGGAGAGAGAGAGGAAGGGAAAGAGAAAGAGGGAGAGGAGGAGAGAGAGAGAGAGAGAGAAACATACTTGTAAAGTTGTCCAGAAAGTGTATCCTTTTTCCCTAACGATTATATAATAAATGGTAAAATAAAGTATGCAGATAAACAGATTCATTTTATCATTTTACATGCCTTATTTCATCATTTATTATACGATTATTTATTAATTATTGGGAAAGAGATATTTCGGACAATTTTACAAGTGTGCTCAAGCAATCTCAAATACTTTTTCGTTTATATTTATCTTAATTTAGAAATGGCACATAACTTTTATAAGCATGTCATTCCTCGCTTCTGACATCATAAATCTGACATGACCAGTAACGTACAAGAAGCTTTAATCCTTAGCTGGCACACTGAAGTACCGAAAGCCCCAGCTTAATTCAGCATAATTCAGCTCCAAATTATTCTCCCCTATAGTACGAAAATGATGCTTGTGCCATCATCTATTATTTGTCCAAGGAACCCTCTTTCTTCTGGATTACCTAGCGTAATTCTAAAAGTCAATCTAGCTGTGGTATTCGAGTAAAACGGAGTGGTGCCATCAGAGGCCCCAGTGTGCCAGCTATAATTATTCTAAGAATTTTTTCTGAATTTTTTTTCCATTGGTGTTTATCATCAGAATAGAAAAAGGTAAGTACATACCTTATACGGCATTTAATTTTTTTTTCAAGAATATCATATTATTCCGGTTTTATTAGATGGCGTATCAATTACGCCAGTTCGGTCCATACGTCTGCAGCTACTCGAGGAAGATAATGAGAATAATTTGTGTACATTAATCAAGTAAAATTCACTCATATCTAATAAAGAAACAAGTATACTTTGAAAAAATAAGTATACTTTGAAAAAATAAGTAATACTTTTTTGGCTGAAATTCGTCTTTTCAACTCTCCAAATAAATACCTTTTTTGAAACGGCCACAATTAAACTACTTTATTCCTTAAAGTGTTATATCTCAAGAGTGTCAAGTTAAATTTTTAGCTCTTAATATAAAAAAATGGAAGAGTTTGTGAATTTTTTAGTGAAAATAGTCATTTTTTCGCTTTTTTTACGTTCTCGAATTTTTTTTATACTTAATATTACATTTTATCAAAATTATACATTAATTACATTTAATCAAATTTAATTGATTACATTTAATCAAACTTATGACATCTTTTAAGTCGATATTTGAAAATTATTCTGGAATTTTTTCAAGTGAAAAAAACCAATAACTTCCACGCAGCAAGCATTTTAATGGTTGGGATCTCAAATGGCCCAGTGTGCTAGCTATGTGACTGTGATGAAGAGTGCCAGCTAAAGGTTAAACAAACTAATAAGTCAATTAGCTTTTGGTTTATATTCAAAACATATTGTTTTTTAGCAGGAACTAGATAAATTAAAATATCTTAATTCTTTTCTATTTCTGAATGTAAAATTATCAATTTTTTATGCGATTTTTCTATCAAAATTTTTACACGATTAAAAAAATTTGAAGAATGTTCCAATTTTTATTATTCTAGTTCCAAAGATAGCCATACATACAAAAATTAATAATATTTTACATTTCTCTGTTTCAGTTTATTGAAGTCTGCAAAATCATAGGAACCAACTTATGTATGCTCAGACTCTCTTCAGAAAATGCTCTATATATTTAATATTTATCGATATTTTTATATAAAAAATTATTGTATGCAGTTTAGACCTATAATATTATGTGCACACAACTGAAATAAATGTTTCACATTTAAAAAAACAATCATGAAAAAAACCTATTTTTAATCTTCGAAAAATGCTTTCCCCTTTAAAAACCTTGATTGCAATACCGCGATTCATCCATTGTATTTGTATCTGCATTCGCGGAAAAATTGAGGAAAAATCAAAATGCCACCATGTACGAAAAATTCGTTCAAACAAAAGTTGTTAGTTTCTTCACGAAGAATAAAATTCCGTAAGAAAAAAAATGAATGTTTCTATTTAAAATGCAAAGTTGATTTTCGAATAACCTTCAGAATGAGCTCCGAGGTCAAAGTCAAGATCACCTTCAGAACCCGGCAACTTTTGTCCCCCTCTGAACCCGACAACTTTTGTCTGAAACATTTTTTGAAAAAATTTCTCCTTTTTGAGATTTTTGCGTGTATTGAATAAAATGGCCCACCCTGTATATGTGTGTATATATATATACACACACTTTTGCACTATTAAAGTACTCTAATATACCACATAAAAACTTTAAAAACATTGAAAACAAACAAAATTTTGAAAAATGACATCTGAAGTTGTCTGCTCTATGATAATATATATTCATATCAGAGTTGTGCTTTAAATTTCAAGATTATGTTTTGTTTGCATATTTTCTACTTAATGTATAGGAGAAACCGGGGTTAGTTGGCTATCGTAAGCAGATAAGTTAGTACAATCGATTATTTCTACTATTCTTTAACAGATTTCAGAATCAAGCAAGCTGGAATTTCGAAGTCATGTTTAACATGTTTCAAAATCTTGTTTGCTTAATTCCGTAATTTGTTAGAAAATAGAAGAAATAATCGGTTTTGCCAATTTATCTCAATAGCCAACTAACCCGTCTTCCCTACACAGTCATTTTTTAGACAATGTAAATTATATAATTTATATCGTAATATAACTTACTATATACTAAAATATTCAAAAAAGACTAATTAAATTATGAAACGATTAATCAAATCTACTTTGAGAATTAATTATAAATGTAATGTTTAAAAAAGATAAATTATATAAAACTTTTATTCTATTAATTATATGAAACTTTTATTCTATCATGTGACAAATTGGTAGATGTAACTCTGAAGATAATAATATCATTAGAGAATTATGTGGACTTTATACTTCTAATTTAAAAAACAACTTCATAAATTTAAGGGAATTTTTCAAAATTCTAAAGAGATTAAATAAAAAAATAAACTTTCCTTAATACATTTTTTAGTAAGCCATACAATTTCTTTAAACAACATCCATAAATTGCTTATTATCTATACAGATAACATTTTATACATAAATTATATTTTATCTATACATAAATATAGAGTATCATAATAAAACCTAATTTACGCGTAAGCGCCTAATTTTAAGATCTAGAACCGTATATACTTTCAATTCGGCAAAATATTGGTTTTTATTATTAATTAATTATTAATTTAATTATAATTTTTATAATAAATTGGATTTTCTTACCTGGAAACTGCATGATGACAACAAATCCCAGTTGCACGGACGACGATCTAGAGTAGAAATCCGTCAGCAATCATTCGTCATATCTTGACACATTCTACCTTCGCTACGTTCGTCAGCTAACGCTTCGATAATCTCTAATAAGAGGTCGCGGCTTAATTGTTTCAGTTTAGGAAGCCTCGCGACCTGAACAAAAGCAACTTTTTGCAGACGAGTATGTTGAAACTTAAATACCGATAACATCAATGTTGCACGTGCGAGGAATTTGAGCGATTCCGTACCTTGCTAAAATGATGAACTATTAGATTTAATGCATATTTCTTCATATCAGCAGCTTGCATCCTATCTGCCGCTTCCAAAATTTCTATAACGTTCTCGGAAGTAACGTTCGTCTCAAGATTCTGTTTACAAAACGCTTGCAGTCGGTTGTTCGTGAAACCGTAGAATGACGGCGCAGTGAATAGATACAAGGAGTCTTCGGGTGGCATCGAAATGTCGGCGTAATAAATATACCTCAGTAAGGAGTGGAACGCTTCCGACGACGGTATCGTCTCGCCAATTTGTATCTGCGTAAGTTGCACTTATATTATTTCTATACTTGCCTACACAAAACTCACCTCCGTAAATCCAACACGTTGATTGTCACATTACCACAACATCATTAATTAATCATGACATTAGGTGACATTAGATGACAACACACTAAGAAAAAATTCGTACTAATAATGAGAAATTTTATCCTTATCTTATTTGTTATGAAAATATCTAACTATTTTAGAGAAAAATACAAGAGATTATCCACAAAATAAATTTATAACATTCGAAACGATTAAACGGAATGTTATTAATAAGATTAATGTATCGTGAAAATATAAGAGAAATGGTGTACCACAAGAAATATTATGCCAATATTACTAGTATATTATGTACAACTATAGTATGTCCAATATAAGTTTAGTATATTCTAATGATATTATGTACTGTCTAGAATAAAGATATTAATCATGATGCATGCAGTAAAAAATGCAGTTCTTTATATCAAACATGATTAGTAGATTTCTTTGTTCATATGAATTATGCGCGACTATGCAAGTTCGTCTAGATAGGCCTACTGATTTCATTAAGTTATCCGTACTCACATTCACCATATTATTTTCAGGTGTGAAAGATCGAAACATAGCCTCAAAGTAGCTGCATCGCGCTGCAAGGATTGCTTTATGCACTGGTATCGGAAAACCATCCAGTATTAGCTTGATGTCGCAAAATTCCACACCAACGTTATCTAAGAACTCCTTCATATCTTGCTCTAGGCTAGTTCCTGGCAAATGAGCTTCGTAATGCGTTACGAAATTCTTTTTACGAAAAAAGAACTCTACAAAAGAATATGCGAACGAAAATTGTGTAAGATACGTACCGACGCCAGACTCGTACTCATACTTGGTAAAATTCTTCGTTTGTGGCACCTGTCGACGCCTAATAATCTCCACCATCAGCGGCTGATCCAGAGTCTCAAATTCCTGACTCATCACGATCTCGTTAATATTGCTCTCTTTCACGACAAAGCTTAGGCAAAATTCCTTTATGAAAAATAACTTCAAATATACAGCGTTATGCAGTGCCACTAGGACGTTCGCGTGACTTATGGTCGCTTCAAGGTAATTAACGCACAGCTGTTCCAAACGTTTCATATTGAATTGCACAGCGAGACGATACACATCCATCATAAGAAGCACGATGCGATTGCTTTGCGGATCCTCGACTTTACTGCTGGACGCGTCGTCAGTTCTCTTAGTAGGATCGATGCGATCAGTGTAAATGTAATTCAATACCATCTCAAAAGCTTCCGGTACAGCATCATTCAATTTTACCTGCAACAGAACGATTAGGATTAGAATTAGGAAATATATTTTATTATCTAATCGTTTTTAATAAAAACTAGAAACTATATATCTTCACTTCGATATGAATTTAATTTTTCGTAAAAAATATGTAGTATATGATAACTTTATACAATAATATATTGTAAACGATAAGTTACGTTACAAATAATATATATATTGTGAAAGATTTGCGAAAACACGGGAAAATTAGTAATATTTAAGTAACGTACAGGGTATCCCAGAACAACCTTCAAAGCTTTTATAGAGACATAATACAAATTAAGGTGAACATAAAAGTCCTATACCGTTTGGCGATATTCGCAATAATTATCGAGATATTAATTAAAGATCTGTGAATAATCACATGAGATATGGTAGATGACATCTACCGCTTGTACATTAGATTAAAAACTAAAAAAGTCCTTTACCGTTTTCCTAATAACTTTTTAGATTTTTAATTATTAATTAGAGGACATTAATATATATTATCGCGACCATTCAGCAATTTTCTTTAATTAATAATTAAAAATATACAAGGTTATTAAAAATGGTAGAGAACTTTTTGTCCAGTTTGACGTCATATACAAACATACAGTAGCAAACGTCGCTATTACAGCTTATCTACTATATCTCATGAGATAATTTACAAATCTTTTTTAATTAATATCTCGATAATTATTACGAATATCACAAAACGGTATAGGACTTTTATGTTTACCTCAATCCGTACTATGCCTTCACGAGAGCTTTGGAGGTTGCTCAGGTGGGACACTCTGTATATACAGAGTACGGCGCACGTAAAACAGGACAAATAAATATTTCCAAAAATATTGACGGCAAAAAATATTTTATCAGATAATGCTAAAATGATTCAAAAGTCACGCCTTTTAAATATATTTTTCCTACATGCATCAAGGATTGAATCCGACACGAGATAAAGTTTCTTTGAATTTTTCTTTGAATTTAGTATTCTCCTATTTGATTTCGATTGGTTTAGTCCTACAAAATAATTTTATATCATGATATAATCGTTTTGTTTTATTAGATTAAATCACGTTAATAGAAAGAAACATCACTAAAGAAAATGTTCAATTAAATAATATTTAATAATAATAATTATATAATAATAATTTGATATTTCAAACTTCTGCGCGGTATAATGCAATGTTTGATCAGATTTTCAGATCGGTGCTGCGTACTTCGCGAATTTGTTTTCAATATTTTGTGAACATTCTAATTTACTTCGTTGTGAGACTTTTTTCTGTAGAATCTTAAATCGTTCTACTTAAAAAGTCTCCTGAAGAAATGAAATCATATTATTTGATTTGATAAAAACATATTTCAGATATTTCGTTTTCAATCTATTATTTGTACTAATACAATATTTGATTAAAAATCCAAAAGTAATTCTGTCGTCTCTAGATGACTAATGTATATTCTGTCAATATCTATTATATATAGACTGTTATTGTATTATTGCTAATAATTACCTATAAATGAGATGAAAGAAGCTTTTTTGGATATTATAAGGATGCAGTATAAGCATGATACTACAAGTATATCGTTAGAATTATCGTTAGTTGAAATCACAAATTCCTGTTCAATCATTGAAATCAAGCAAACAAAATCATGATAAGGAATAAAGATAAGTGAATGCATCACGGGATAATTAGAGTAAGTATTTGAATAAAAATAATAGGAAGAAGAGAATACACTCAATAAAGTAATAAAAAAAAGACTGTTAGTAATACAAAAAAAAACATTAAGTTTCTTAAGGGTGCGTTCGTGAAACTCATTATTTGCAGTGTTACTACAATGTAGTGTTATTTGCAATGTTACTGTGTCATTCTATCTTTGTTGTATATTTAAGGAGCGATAAAGATAGAAAAATGCGGTAACGTTAGTAGCGTGCTACACGAATGCACTTTAAGTTTCTTATTTAATTAAAAGTTAGAAAATCGTAGTTATTGATTAAAACGTTAGTTTCTTTTAGTTTATTTGGATGCAATAAAATATATTATATCCAAAGAAATCTCTTTCTCTATACACTACAATTGTACAAATTCAAAAATAAATATATTAATATAAATTTATTAAAAAATGTAGTGATTTTCAAGTATGCTTGATATATTCATATAGAAAAAAAAATATATCAAAAAGATATCTCTTATAAAACACTCTAATTTTGCTTCATAAAAAATTGCATTTTTCTGCCATTACTATTTTTTAAGATATTCATCTATTGCGCACTTTACATACCTCGCTCTGTATACAAAATATTTTTTTAAGTACTCCCTAATATTTTAGTAGTTGATTTTTTAAGTATTTTATAAAGAAAAATTCAAATGAAAATATTGCCTGGAACTCCTTATTTCTCTCAAAGGTGTAGAGTGTTAAAAATCCTGTTAAATGTAGGATGTTAAAAATCCTATTAAGGTGTTAAAAATATTGAAATACAAATATTTCCTGAACTAATGACTTTATTGATGTCTATCAATATACTTTTTGTAGGTAATTAATAAAATAAAAATTTACAAAACATTTTATCTATTCATCTATTCGCATACAACTTCAAGGTAGTAATATACTATTTAAATCCCGTTTCTTTACGCCATAGATTTCTTACCAAACGATTACTATAGGTAAAAAATAAAAATATAGAAGAGTACTCTTTAGTTACTAGTCTGAGATTAAAATAGAAATCTTTTTCCGTTTAAGAACTGTTTAAAAAACCGATAATTTTATAGAATTGTTAACATCCTGTATTTTTCTGAAAATAGACCTTTAAGGCCATATATTCATATTAACTTTATATTCATATTAACCTTGTAAAAATGAGCTCAAAAATCAATTCCTAAAATATTGAATAGTACTTAAAAAATATCTTATATACACAAATAAATTAATAACAAGTACATTTTTTTGACCATATGTTTCTTGTAGAGCTAAAAGTAGTCGAAATGGAGACACAATATTCCGATTTGCAGTCGAACTTTACCTCTAATAGTGGCAAATCTTTAAGCGGTACATTGACGGTACCAAACGTTTCTTCCAAATGAACTGCTCGTTTTTCACGCGCCTCTCGAATACGAGCTCGGAGAAATTGTGAGCGCGCAGCCACCATGGCAATATGCGCTGGTATTTTAGTCTCTAACTCGCCTACTATAAATTCCACGTCGCAAAAGAGACGGTTGCTCAAGAGTCTACCGAAATCGTCATGCAAAGTGCACTTGGGGTACGACGAGAACTGGAAGCGATATGTCTCGGCGGACCGTATATTATTATCTACCGTTCCGCCAAAGATGAACATCGCTTCTCCAATCACAGCTGCGGCATGGAAAAGTCGACCGGACGGCACCTGCATGAGTATATATCATAAGATAAGTTATCTAACTTTATGAACTAAAATAGTTATTCAAACTATTATCGTAAACAGGTATTATATGTAAAATATTATATTATTATATTATAAATAAAACATATGACCTTTTTACAATTTCTAATGTTTAGTTTCTGTTTGTGATAAAAACTTATTTCACGTTATAAAATTAAATAATTCATTTTTTGTACATTGTTAATATATTACATAATAATAAAGCATCAGTTAATGTAACAATTACAAATTGTTACAGGTGTTACCTACCTGACTGTCGGCAGATGGTAAAACGACGTTCCACGTTTGTGTGTCAAGATCGTAGCAGTGAAGATCATTAGACAGAGACGTTTCAGCCGCGCCGCCAAAGACATAAAGATGTCGGTCAAAGCTGACCATCGTGTGACCGTATCGCCGTGCTGGTGGCGGCGGTGCGCCACGCAATATGTGCTCCGTCGATATACGCGTCCATCTAAAAAAATATAAATAATGATAACAAAATGATGAAAAATTTAATTGTAATTTACAAGACGCGAATACAAAATTGCAAATTATGACGCGAAATCTATTGTCGCACAAATGTAATATTTACCGCCTCTCCCTAAAATGAAATTGGAAGAGACTATTAGTTATCTTTGCTCCGCTCTGGCCGCTAAAAACAAACATAGATTCTCGGGCTACCGCGACGGGGAAATTGCAGCATGTTGGCGGACACTCGCCAGACTGATCAACTTGCTCCCACACCCTAGACTCACCGGGCTGATAATATGTGCAAAATTGAATAAAATCAAAATCGTGTGAAAGCTTTCCATATTGTCTGATTCCTCATATTAATATTTTAGTTATGTTACAAACAATCGTAAAGCAATAAGTATCCTACCAGCAAAGATATTGTCCACATATCATTCAATCTGGCATTGCCATCATAGCCTGCGAATATCCATAACTTATTATCATATACAGCAGCACCGTGGGCAGATCTAGCCACTGGTGTCCTAAAAATATATTAACATTTGTTAATACTAGCCACTATATATTTATAAATATAATAGCAACATATACAGGGTATCTGAAAATTTCAAGCATAATGAGGAGCTAGAATTCATCAAACTGAACACAAAATTCCTCTATCATTTCACAAACCATGTAAAATTTTAAATTATTAATTCAAGATTAGTGACAAGATACAAGGCATGATAATATCTGAACACAAAACTCCTTAAACTAAATAAAAAGATCCTCTACCATTTTGCAAATAATCACATAGCTTTTATTATTAATTTAAAAAATTAGTACACTATACATGTAACGCACTAGTTTTTTTATTTAATAACTAAAAATCTATGTACTTATTTGTAAAATGGTAGATGATTTTTTTCAGTTTGCCTTAATGTACAAGTACATGACAACAAACATCACTTTCACAGCTCTACTGTATCGTATGTGATTATTCATCAATCTTCTTTAATTAATAACAAAATTTTACATAATTGTAAAATTTTACATAATTTTGCAAAATAGTAAAGGAATTTTGTATTGTTTGATGAGTTCTACTCACATATAACAGGTCTGTCATGAATTATCAGATATTCTGTATACTTATAAATTTGTTGGTGTTGCACTTACAAGTACAATACTTACATTCCTGCAAACTTCCACTCTGCCCACTGACCAGTCTGGAAATTGTACTCAAACAGATCATTTTTATTACTAAGATTAGAATTAGAATGTATATCTCCAGTGTAACCACCAAAGACAAACATTGATGAGCCATGAACAACTGCAGAATGATGATAACGTGGTGCTGGTGGAAGCCCGGTTGCAAGTGCTCGTCCCCAGGACTTTTCTTTTACATCAAAACGCAGTAAGTCATTCAACATCTTTTTACCATTGTCACCACCAAAGACATAAATTGCATCCTTATATGCTACAATAGTATGTTTGCTGCGTCTAAGAGAGTAAATAGGGCATTAATTAATTAAACCATAATGTTAATTACAGTTAACTATTTCATTGACCTCGTTTAGTACTCAAAGTAGTATTATTTTATTTATAAGTCAGACTTTATCCAGCAGTATATAACTGCCCAGATAGCCAAATCTGCACAGATTTCGAGCAGAGCTTGCTATCAACTTTTGATGGCAAATAGATAACAAATTTGATGCAGGATGTTATATCAAATTTTATTGCCAAATTGCCACCAGACATGCGGCAGAGCTTGTTGTCGGATAATTGCTGCAGATTTGCAGCAAAAACCGCGCAGAGCTTGTAGCGATTTGACAGCAGATTGGCGGCAGAAACCGC